TATATATATATATATATTTATATATATATATATATATATATATATATATATATATATATATATATATATATATATATATATATATATATATATATATATATATATATATATATATATATATATATATATATATATATATATATATATATATATATATATATATATATATATATATATATATATATATATATATATATATATATATATATATATATATATATATATATATATATATATATATATATATATATATATATATATATATATATATATATATATATATATATATATATATATATATATATATATATATATATATATATATATATATATATATATATATATATATATATATATATATATATATATATATATATATATATATATATATATATATATATATAAAAGTTATAGTCATTAATAAAATAAAGTTATACATATTAATAAAACTTATGCAATCTGCACCCTCGAAATGAAAGTACAAAGACTGCCACCTGGTGGTGCGAAGAGAAAACTTATTGATATGAACTTTTTAGATCGCTTTAGTACAAATTGTGTATAATAGAAATGCACAATATGTGACTTTTTTTAAAGCAATAATACATTAATGCAGTCATAAACATGTTTTGATAATTAATATGCCAGTGATTTGATGCTTTACAAAAGTTGCAGATGCCTTTACCAATATCAAAATGCTTTTGTAAACAACCAGTTATTCTTTACACCGATTAAAAAACGGCTACTATAATAAAGAAAATCTTTTCTAAATGTAAAACTAAATACATTGATATGCATTAAAATACATGATGAATACTCTTGACACATGAAAGTGTAAAGCCTGCAGCTCACAACAAATGTGGAAGGTTATCACGTGTCATATTTAACAAACCGTTTACTGCTAATTTGATGTAATTTTGCTCACATGGATAATTGAATATTAATCAGATGATGTCATTACGCTGCTGTGCCGTCAGCCAATCGCTGCATTGCTGATCATGATTTCGAGGATGGATAGATCTGTCCTTCACAACACACGCAGCGATCTCAGATCAGTTTATCCAGACATTCTAATCTGATTCGCGAACTTGTTTGAAGAACCAAATTAGCGAGAGATCAGTTATCAAGATTAAAAGATCCAGGATCTGCCAAATAATCTTAGATCATTTAAGCGAGGTACGAAGAACGGACCCCAGATCATATGCTGGACACACCAGACACTGAACACTTCCTTACGCCACACGCTTCTGCCAAACTCCATCAGTCAGTATCCGCCCAGTGACATCATCATCATCATCATCATCATCCAGCAGCGCTCGCTCCAGTGGAAAACATGAGCACGTGTCTGAACTCTAACTCTCCCTGTGTGTGTGTGTGTGTGTGTGTGTGTGTGTGTGTGTGTGTGTGTGCAGCCTGCGAGGGAGGAGAGAGAGGGGGAGCCGGAGGTGAAGGAGAGCGAGGAGAAGAAAGAGGAGAAGAAAGAGCAAGAGCAAGTGATCCAGCCGGAGGAGAGCGCGGCGCTGCTGCCACACAAACTCAGCAAGAAGATGAAGATGGTGGTGTGTCACGTCACCTTGCTGGACGGCAGCCAGTTCTCCTGTGAGGTGGAGGTGAGTCTCACGCGTACCTCTGTCTGTACGGCCGTCTCCCTGACTGCCTGTCTGTCTGTACATCTGTCTGTCTATCTGTCCACATCATCAGTAATGTTCTGTGCTTTACGTTAAATTAGTTCTTGTGAACTGCGTTATCTTAAAGAGGCCATGTGATGCTGTGATCTTTAAGTGTTCGTTAAGTGTGGGGTTGATCTGTTCCTCTATAAGATCCAAAAAGCATTAAAACTTGTCATCTTTCACAAAAGAGATTTATTCTGAGCAGAGAGCAGAGAACTCTCCTCCAGTCATGCAGATTTTATGACCACAGACATCAGCATCACAGTTTGAAGTGTTAGCTTAATGCCAATCCAAAGACCAGCCCAGAATGCAGGCTTGAGTTCAGTGAACTGCTGGTTTTCGCAGATGCTGTCTTGACAAAAGTCTTGTCACCCATCCAAGTTTTAGGAACAACAAATAGTAAGTTGGCTCAACAAAACTGGACAACAGAAGATTGGAGAAACGCTGCCTGCTCTGATGAGTCTCCATTTCTGCTGCAGCATTCAGATGGTCGGGTCAGAATTTGGCATCAACAACATAAAAGCATGAATCCATCCTGCCTTGTATCAGCGGTTCAGGCTGGTGGTGGTGGTGTAATGGTGTGGGGGATTTTTCTTGGCACACTTTGGGTCCATTAGTACCAACTGAACATCGTGTCAACGCCACAGCCTACCTGAGTATTGTTGCTGACCATGTCTATCCCTTTATGAGCACAGTGTCTCCATCTTCTGATGGCTACTTCCAGCACGATAACACGTCATGTTCTGAAGTGTGATTTCTTAAACATGAAAATGAGTTCACTGTACTCAAATGGCCTCCACAGTCACCATATCAAAATCCAATAGAGCACCATTGAGATGTGGTGTAACGAGAGATTGGCATCATGGATGTGCAGCCGACAAATGTGCAGTTCTGAAGGCAAAAGGTGGTCCAACCTGGCACTAGGTACAGGGTTCTTACGGGTGCTGGAAATCCTGGAAAATGCTTGATTTTTATTGTAGTGTTTTCAAGGTTAGAAAAGTGCTTGGATTTTGGACAAAGTGCTTGAACCTGCTTGAATTTGCAGGGCTTGAAATTGTGACTGTTTTGGTTGCATATGCACACAATTTTGTCTATGTGACCTCAAAATATATTTGGGAGCATTTGTGCGAGTGCGTAAATTATTGTCGTGTGACCAGTTTACATTGCAAAATGTTCATCGCATGCGCGCATTTATGGAGCTAATAATTAGCCAAAACAATCTGATGTTGAATTGTGTTCAATTGAATTATTAACAATTGTAAGTTAATAATACTGATTATGTCCTATTAGAAATGTTTTTAATTTGTATTTTTTTAACTTGATTATTGAACTTCTGAAATTTAAGGCAACCTAATTTTTTAAGTCAGATTTTTATAGACATATTTTAAAACCTGAAACGCCAATCCAATGACTGCAAAAAAATAACAATGCACATGAAATATCATGAACGACTATTCATGAAAGTTTGGGACTACACCCAAACAAAATCTGACTGTAAGATCATTTTAAAAGCATACTTCATCAAAAAACTAAACTTTAAAAAATGTATTTTGTACTCATTTTGGGTAAACTATCTCAATAAATCTATGCTCTGAAGTGCTCAACAATTTTTTGTTTTTTAAAATAGCACAATGGATTTAAATGTGAAAAAGTACATACTATATATATATAAACTTAATTAACTGTGGTTATTAGGTGCTGGAAAAGCATACAAATGCGCTTTGAAAGTGCTTGAAAAGTGCTGTATTTGAAGTTGGAAAAGGCGTAAGAACCCTGTAGTAAGGTGTACCTAATAAAGTGGCCAGTGAGTGTATGTATTATATAATCTTTCCATCACATTACAACAAACTAATTACCGCTTGTACAAGGCATTTGACATGCAGCATCTATGGGGGTAGGACAGTAAATCAGTGTTGCTGTTATCAGTCTCACACTATTGTTTTTTTCTTTTTCTAAAACACCATCTAAAAGTTTTTCTTTTATGATGATACTCTCCCATTCACTGCGCTCTGTGTTTTACTGACTATGACCACTTCTGCTGTGGAGAAACCTGTAAATAATGGCAAAAACATGCTTAGTTTGTGTAAAAAAACAAGCTGCATGTTTTGGTTTGAACTCGTCTGAGCTGGCAGACGCAGCAGCTGAACACAACAAGCAAAACAAAAGTGGAAATTTAATCCGATGTCACCTTTAAAACTCGCATCATGTCTGATCATGATCTGTTGTAGTGTGTTATGAAGTCTTAGCGTGTGTGTGTGTGATCCAGATGTTGTGGATATGGGCGCTCTGGGTCATCAGTAGGTTTAAAGGGTCAGATTACGGGTCATTCAGTTCGTTGCACTAATCCTTTCAAACCTTTGTCTCGCTGAGTTTTAATGGCATTTTTTAAATGATTATTCAGGATGACAATAATCCTGTTGTCTTGATTGAGGTCTGTGTGTGCGAGCGCCTGTTGGATTTGTGTCTATAAATACACTCACCGGCCACTTTTTTTAGGTACACCTTACTAGTACAGGGTTGGACCCCATTTCAGAACTGCTTTAATCCTACGTGGCAGAGATTCAACAAGGTCCTGGAAATATTCCTCAGAGATTTTGCTCCATATTGACATGATAGCATCACACAGTTGCTGCAGATTTGTCGGCTGCACATCCATGATGCCAATCTCCCGCTCCACCACATCCCAAAGCTGCTCTATTGGATTAATCTCTGTGACTGTGGAGGCCATTTGAGTACAGTGAACTCATTGTCATGTTCAAGAAACCAGTCTGAGATGATTCACGGTTTATGACATGGCGTGTTATCCTGCTGGAAGTAGCCATCAGAAGATGGAGACACTGTGCTCATAAAGGGATGGACATGGTCAGCAGCAATACTCAGGTAGGCTGTCGTGTTGACACGATGCTCAATTGGTACTGATGAGCCCAAAGTGTGCCAAGAAAATCTCCATTACACCACCACCAGCCTGAACCGCTGATACAAGGCAGGATGGATCCATGCTTTCATGTTGTTGATGCCAAATTCTGACCCGACCATCCGAATGCTGCTGCAGAAATGGAGACTCATCAGAGCAGCAACGTTTCTCCAATCTTCTATTGTCCAGTTTTGGTGAGTCTGTGTGAATTGTAGCCTCAGTTTCCTGTTCTTAGCTGACAGGAGCGGCACCCGGTGTGCTCTTCTGCTGCTGTAGCCCATCCGCCTCAAGGTTGGCCGTGTTGTGTGTTCAGAGATGCTCTTCTGCAGAGCTCGGTTGTAACGAGTGCTTATTCGAGTTACTGTTGCCTTTCTATCAGCTGGAGCCAGTCTGGCCATTCTCCTCTGACCTCTGGCATCAACAAGGCCTTTGCCCCCAGAGAACTGCCGCTCACTGGATATTTCCTCTTGTTTAGACCATGCCACGCTCAAAGTTGTAATGTACCTAATAAAGTGGCCGGTGATTGTATATTATTAGTCTGATGTGTGTGCGTTTGGTAGTGAAGCTGTAATGGGATCAGGCATTGTGCTGACAGGAGTATTAAATGCATGGCGATGACCTCTGACCCTGCAGTGATTCGGTGGGTGTGTTAGGGAGGACTGATTATTGATTGCCTGTCAACTCGCATGAGTTCAACACACAGTGTCTGCTGCTACTGCTGAATTCAGGATGTAGAGAACACACACACACACACACACACACACACACACACACACACACACACACACACACACACACACACACACAAGCACTTAAACACACATATTTATATATACACTCAAAAGCAGACAGACTCATGTAAATATACACACACGCACACACATACACACATACATGCACCTATTTCTATATATTCACACACACAGATGCACACACACTCATGTAAATATTCACATACACACACATACACACAATAAAATAAAAAACTGTGAACACACTGGAGATGCACTGAGTAGCAGACATGTTCACACCCACAAAAAAACAAACTCTCTCACGCACACACACACAAACACACTCACCCACATTCACACACCGACAAAAACCACACTCACGCAAAAACACACAAGCACTGACGATGCGTTAAGGGACATATTTACACACACACTCTCACGCACAAATTTACAGACACAGACACACACACACACACACACACACACACACACACACACACTCACTCTAGAGCACACACAAACACACACGTGCATATTCACTCACAGACACACTCACACACGCACAGACACATGCACACACACTCACTCACACGCAAACACAGACACACAGAACTACACACGCGCGCACACACACACACACTAATACATACTCACACACACACAGTAACACAAACATGGACACAATTACACACACACACCAATAAAAACACAGTCATAAACACACAGACACACTCAAAAACACCAACTTCACTCACTCACGCACAGACACGGGTACAGACACTCACTCACACATACTCGCACATACTCACAGACACAGACACTCCCACACACACACACACACATGCAGGCAAACAGACACACACATGCACACACAAACAAGGTCATAAACTCACACACAAACACAACAAACTCACACACATTCTCGCACACAAACACACACATGCACACAAACAAGCACAACATACTCACGCACAAACGCAGACACACACAAACATGGTCACACACACAAACAACACACTCATGCACATTCTCACTCACAAACACACACACACACACACACACACACACTCACGCATATATTGACATATAGACACACAAACGCAGACACACTGAGACAGATATTCACACACACTCATGCGTGGGATAGTTTAAATCAGTCCCCCACAGCGCTGCAGCAGTGATATACATGTTATTAAGCAGATGTCATTAGGTTCGAGTTAGATTAATGATCAGTGTAAGTCAGCTGTGCTCAAACAGGCGTGACCCGAGCAGCGCAGGTGATCAGGTGTGCTGTG